CCAACAACTGCTGCGTGTTTGAGAAATTGTAAACATTGTTTGCGATATTTGTTTTATTATGATAACCTCTATAGTGTTCAGTACTTCAATTTTTCGATGTTTCGGTTTTATAACTTTTTGTTTTTTAATTTTAATTTTCTCAGTTTTTCGATTCGTGATTTTTCAATTTTTCATTTCTTCAAATTTCGATTTTAGTGTCAAGTTTTCTATTTCTAATTTTTCAATTTTTCGATTTGCAGTTTTTCAATTTTTTATTTTTTTTGTTTCTTCAATTATACGATATCGTTCAAGTTTTCATTTTAAATTTTTTCAACTTTTCCATTTTTCAACTTTTGGATGTTTCAATTTTTAGACTTTGCAAGTTTCCGATTTTTTGCAATTTGACGAGTTTTTAATTTTTCAATTTTTCGATTTGCAATTTTTCGTTTGGATTTTTTATTTTCTTTATTTGTTCAATTTTTCGGTTTTTCAATGTTCTGATTTTTATAACTTTGCTTTGTTTCAATGTGAAATTTTTCAATTTTTCGATTTACAGTTTTTCGTTTCAGTTTTCTATTTTCTTTATTTATTCAATTTTTCGGCTTCTCAATGTTCTGATTTTATAATTATTCTTGTTTCCAATGTGAAATTTTTAAATTTTTTGATTTGCAATCTTCGGTTTTCAATTTTTCGGTTCTTCAAATGTTGATTGCAATTTTTTTACTTCTTCATTTCTTCTATTTTTCTTTTATTTTTGTTTCTTCTTTTTTTAGAATTTAGAAGTTTAATTTTTTTTTTTCAATTATCCAAATAGTTTCTGGAGTTCTCAATTGTTAATTTTTCAATTTTTCGATTTCCAATTTTTTGTTTCGGTTTTTTATTTTCTTTATTATTATTTTTAATTATTCAGTTTTTCAATGTTTCGATTTTATATTGTTTTTTAAATTGAATTTTCTCAGTTTTTTCCGTTTCCCCAATTTTTGATTTGCGATTTTTCAAATTTTCATTTTTTGTTTCTTCAATTCCTAGATTTTGCAGTTTTTTCAGTTTCTCGAGTTTTCAATTTTTCGTTTCTTCAAATGTTGATTTGCAATTTTCCTATTTTTCGTTTTAATTATGTTATAATAATTATAATAAGTTTTAAAATGTTTCACTACTTCAATTTTACAATTTTAGAATTTTTCCATTTTTCAATTAACTGGATTGTAAAACGTTTTCATTTATTCCATGTTTCAGTTCTTTCATTTTTCTTTTTTTTTCGTTTCTTCAGTTTTTCCATTATCCAAATTTTGAATTTTTCAATTTTTCGATTTGCAATTTTTCGTTTCGGTCTTGTATTTTCTTTATTTTATTTTAATTATTCAGTTTTTCAATGTTTCGATTTTATATTGTTTAAATTTCAATTTTTCATTTTTCGTTTCTTCAATTCCTAGATTTTGCAATTTTTCGATTTAAAATGTCTCCAGTTTTCAAGTTTTCGAGTCTTTATTATTCAGTTTTTCAAATTTTCAGTTTGCTATTTTTTGTTTCGTTTTTTTCGTTGTTTAAATTTCCGATTTTTCAATATTCTGTTTTTACAATTTTTTCTTTTCTGTAATTAATCGATTTGCAATTTTTCGATTTTTCAACTTTTCAAGTCTTCAATTTTTTGTTTTGCAATTTTTCTCTTCGAGTTTTTATTTTCTTTATTTGTTCAATTTTTCGGTTTTTCATTATTCTGAATTTTTATAATTTTTCTGTTTTTCAATGTGAAATATTTCACTTTTTCGATTAACAATTTTTCGATTTTTGAACTTTTTGATTTTTTATTTTCGTTTATTCAGTTTTTCGATTTTTGAATTTCTTGTTTCTTCAAATGTTTATTTGCAATTTTTCTAGTTCTCATATTAATTATGTTATTACAATTAATTTTTAAAATGTTTACTGCTTCAGTTTTATGATTTTAGAATTCTTCTTCCATTTTTCAATTACTGGATTTTATAACGTTTTCATTTATTCGATTTTAAAGTAGTTCCATTTATTCTTTTTTTTGTTTCTTCAGTTTTTCGAATTGCAATTTTTCGAGATTTAAGTTAAAATTTTTCAGTATTTCAGTTATCCAAATTTTGAATTTTTCTATTTTATTAATTTTTCAATTTTTCGATCTTTTAGTGTTACAGTTTTTGGACTGATTTTATAATTAATCTTTTTTTCAATGTAAAATTTTTAATTTTTCGTTTTGCAATTCTTCGGTTTTCAATTTTTCGATTTTTCAGCTTTTTGATTTCTAATTTTTCATTTTTCAGTTACATATAGATTTTTCAGTTTTTCGTTTCTTGGAATGTTGATTTGCAATTTTTCTATTTTTCGTTTTGATTATGTTATAATAATTAAATTTTTAAATTGTTTCACCACTTCAATTTTACGATTTTAAAATTTTTACATTTTTCAATTACTGTTTTCGATTTTTAATTTTTCAATTGTTCGATTTGCAATTTTTCGTTTCGGTTTTTGTTTTCTTTATATTTTTTTATACTCAGTTTTTCAGTGTTTTATATTGTTTTTTATATTTTAATTTTTACATTTTTTTTTCGTTTCCTTAATTTTCCGATTTGGAGTTTTTCAATTTTTCATTTTTTGTTTCAATTTCTAGAGTATGCAATTTTCCGATTTAAAATTTCTCCAGTTTTCAATTTTGCGATTTTTTAATTTTTCATTTCTTCAAGTTTTCGATTTGCAATTTTTTTCGTTTCGGTTTTTTATTTGGTTTATTTTTATAATTGTTGGATGTTTCAGTGTTCCAATTTTATAATTTTATGTTTTTCCAATTTCAATTTATTCATTTTTCCGTTTCTTCAATTTTTTGATTTGCAATTTTTCATTTCTTGTTTCTTCAATTTTACTATGTGCAACTCTTCAACTTCTCATTTTTATTTATTATTTTGATTTTCCAACTTTGGATGTTTCAATTTTTAAATTTTGCAATTTTTGGAATTGCCATCTCACGAGTTTTTAATTTTTCGATTTTTCAATTTTTCGATTTGCAATTTTTCGTTTCGGTTTTTTATTTTCTTTATTTGTTCAATTTTTCGGTTTTTCAATGTTCTGATTTATAATTTTTCTGTTTTTCGATGTGAAACTTTTCTCTTTTTCGATTAGCAATTTTTCGATTTTTCAAATTGTTGATTTTTAATTTTTCGTTTTTTCAGTTACAGATTTTCCAATTTTTCCATATTTCAATTTCTCGTTTCTTCAAATATTCATTCGCAATTTTTCTACTTTTCATTTTAAATATGTTATAATAACTATAATTTTTAAAATACCTATTTCAATTTTTCAATTTTACGATTTTGAAATTTTTTAAATTTTACTGGATTTTAATTTGTTTTCATTTATTCGATCCTTGACTTCTTTCATTTTTCTTCAGTTTTTTGAGTCTTAAGCTTAAATTTTTCAATTATCCAAATTTTGAATTTTTCAATTTTTATATTTTGCAATTTTTCGATTCTAGTTTTTCGAGTTTTCGATTTTTAATTTTTCGATTTGCAATTACATATATGTTTCGGTTTTTAATTTTTTTTTGTTCTTTTTAAATTATTCAATTTTTCAATGTTCTGATTTTATAATTTTTTGTTTTCTGTAATTGTTCGATTTGGAATTTTTCAATTTTTAATTTTTTTTTTCGAGATTTCATTTTTAAGTTTTTTTTTTCAAGTTTTCATGTCTTCAGTTTTTTGATTTGTAATTTTTCGTTTCGGTTTTTAATCTCTTCATTATTGTTCAAGTTTTTGGTATTCCAACTTTTTGATTTTTTATTTTTCGTTTTTTCAGTTTTAGATTTTTCAGTTTCTCGATTTTTCAATTTTTCTATTTTTTCAATTATTGGATTTTAAAACTTTCTATTTTTAATTTTTAGTTTTTCGATGTTTTAGTGTTACAGTTTTTGGACTTTACAGTTTTGGCGAGTCTGTAATTTTTCGATTTTACAATTTTTGGGTTTTCCAATTTTTCGATTCGATTCTTTTTTTCTTTCCAATTTTTCGATTCTCATTAATTTTTTTCGATTTTTCGTTTCTTCAGTTCTTCGATTTGCAACTTTTCGAATCAAAAAAATGGAAAAATTGCTAAATTGTAAAATTGAAAAATCGAAAATGAAAAAACAAAAACGAATAAAATGAAGACTTCCAAAAATCTAAAAATTCAATAAAGAACTTGAAAAATTGAAGAAACGAAAAATTCAAAAATCGAAACAAAATCAAAATATTGGCAATTAAAGAAATTGAAAAATTTAAAAATAGGAAAATCGAGGAATTGAAAATTTGAAAATTGAATTAACGAAAAATTATAAAATCGAAAGAAACATTAAAACAATACTAAGCTTCGCTTAGCTCGGGAAGTAAAAATAAAGGAAATGAAAAACGAAAATTGTGACAAAATCGAGAAAATGAAAATCAAAAAATTGGGGGAACGAAAAACAAAAACCTTAGAACTTGAAAAATTGAGGTAACGAAAAAACCAAAAATTGAAAAATTAAAAATTGGGAAACTGAAAAATAAAAAAAATATAATATCCAAAAATTGCAAAATTGAAGAAATGCAAATCGAAAATTTGAAAAATTTGGAAGTCGAGAAATTGAAAAAAAAGTTGAAAGAACGAGAAATTATTGAAAAATGGAAAACTTGTCATAACAAAAATTTAATATCAAAAAATTGGTCGAAGATAAATAAATCCAGATTTTTCGAAAAATTTGATTTTGTGGAATTTAATTTTTTATAAGTTAACATAGATTTAAAAGGCGTGCGTTTATTTCAAGTGAGTTTTTCCATTATAAAATTTTTTGATGGCGTCTTGGAAGCAAGAGTATTTTATAAAATTAAAAAAAAAACATACAAAATTTGATAACAATCAGTCTAGTAGTTTCTGATATTACGTCTCTAGTCAAAATCGACATAGACGCCAGACAGACAGACAGACGGAATCAGGAGATCACTTTTTTCTCTAATTAATAAATACAATTACTCAAACAGTTCGTCCCGTTGCAGGTGATGGTGTCAGGGTATGGTTCCTTGCTGATAATCTCGAGCTTGGTGTGCATGGGTTCGGCATCAATCTGCATCCAGGGCAAACAGTACCTGAGTACAAAGTTAGAGACATGTGTGAACTGTACGCAGTGCGCGGTAGGTGACATGGTGATCCGCCCCTGCGAGGTCCACCGGGACACGATCTGCCGGCCCATCAACGAAATCTTCAAGTTCATCCAGCCCAATCCGCACCGGCATGGCCACATGTTCCGGCCGGCGCACCACGACAAGACCGAGGACGGCGACCGCGACGGCGAGGACAAGCCCGTCGGGGACGCGCCCGAGCTGGAAATCACCAGCACCGAGGCGCCGTTCTCCAGCGCCGAGACGCTAGTCTGGGACTGGCAGGCCATCGCACTCAGCTCGGCCGTCTTCGCGTGCTTCCTGTTTTTTCTAGCCATCACGCTGTACTCGCTGCACCAGGCCAAGCAGTGGAGGAGGCTGAAGGATAACTTCGATGCCGGTGAGTTGGGTGGATTTGCATAGTTAGGGGGGTTAGGTGCGCATTTGTGTCCGGGACGGTCGTGACTGGATTAAACAGGAGAGGACTCAGGCGGGATACGCGTGTTCGATAACAACAATAATGTTTGTTTCGTGGTGTAAATACATGGTGTTTGTACAACAAGATGTGACTAAGAAGAGAAAACAAAGATAAACGTTAGTGCACAAATAGAGAACGAAACATTAATTAGAAAATAAAATCTAGTAAAAGGGGTTACTTTAAACTACTACTATTGTTTTGTCTAAAATCACACTTTAAATACTTCTCAATATTTTAAAAATAATTTGGAATGAGAGAAAGCTTTATTTTACATAAGAACGTTTATGAAGAATCGTTGGGAGAACATTAATAGTTTGACGCAGTAAAATTTTGTAGCTGTTGTGGATTTGGTTAAATTAAGATTGCTTAAACCAATATGTAGGAATGTGTCAAGTTTTGAGATAAAAAACAGCCTTTTTCCAAATTTAACGAGAAATAAATCCAAAACGGCAAGAGATTACACATTGCAGTTTAGAGTATTCAATTCCTTGGAACTTCCTAGTCCTACGATTGATTTTTCAGACTAGATACTCGATTTGTTTATTGTGGAAAGACGAATATATAAAAAGGTGTCATTTTGAGATAAAAACAACATTTTTTCAAATTTAACGGGACATGAGTTCAAAATGGGACTAGATTTCGTATTGTGGTTCGAAGGATTAGATTTCTTGAAGCTCTCTGGTCCTACAAGTGAATTTTCAGACTTAAAACTTGATTTGTTTACTGTGGAGAGACGAATATATAAAAAGGTGTTATTTTGAGATAAAAACAAATTTTTTTCAAATTTAACGGGAATTTAATGGGAGATAACTCCAAAACGGCATTAGACTACGCATTGGGGTTTGAAGCATTGGATTCCTCGGAGCTTTCTAGTCCTACGAGTGATTTTTCAGACTAAATACTCGATTTGTTTACTGTGCAGAGACGAATATGTAGAAAGGTGTCATTTTGAGACAAAAACAGCATGTTTCAAATTTAACGGGATATTCAATGAGACATAACTTCAAAACGGCACTAGATTTCGTATTGCAGTTTTAAAGATTAGATTCCTTGAAGCTTTCTAGTCCCAGGAACCAATTTTCAGATCGGAGAGTCTATCTGTTTACTCTGGAGATACGAATATATAGAAAGGTGTCATTTTTATATAAAACTAATTTTTTTTTTAATTTAACGGGACATAACTCAAAAGCGGTATTAGATTCCACATTGCGGTTCGGAGCATTCGAATCTTTGGAACTTTGTAGTCCCACGAGTGAATTTTTAGACTAAATACACGATTTGTTTACTTTTGGGAGACGAATATATAAAAATGTGTCATTTTGAGATAAAAATAACATTTTTTCAAATTTGACGGGCGTTTAATGGGACATAAATCCAAAACGGCATTAGACTCCGGACTGCGTTTCGAAGCATTGGATTCCTCGGAGCTTCCTAGTCCTAAGAGTGAATTTTCAGACTAAATACTCGATTTGTTTACTGTGCAGACACGAATATACAGACAGGTGTCATTTTGAGATAAAAACAGCATGTTTCAAATTTAACGGGATATTCAATGGGACATAACTTCAAAACGGCACTAGATTTCGTATTGCGGTTTTAAAGGTTAGATTCGTTGAAGCTTTTTAGTCCCAGGAACCAATTTTCAGATCGGAGAGTCTATCTGTTTACTCTGGAGATACGAATATATAGAAAGGTGTCATTTTTAGATAAAACTAGATTTTTATTTTTAATTTAACGGGACATAACTCAAAAGCAGTACTAGATTCCGCATTGCGTTTCAGAGCATTCGATTCTTTGTAACTTTGTAGTCCCACGAGTGAATTTTTAGACTAAATACACGATTTGTTTACTTTTGGGAGACGAATATATAAAAAATTTATCATTTTGAGATAAAAACAACATTTTTTCAAATTTGACGGGCGTTTAATGGGACATAACTCCAAAACGGCATTAGACTACGCATTGGGGTTTGAAGCATTGGATTCCTCGGAGCTTCCTAGTCCTAGGAGTGAATTTTCAGACTAAATACTCGATTTGTTTACTGTGCAGACACGAATATACAGACAGGTGTCATTTTGAGATAAAAATAGCATGTTTCAAATTTAACGGGATATTCAATGGGACATAACTTCAAAACGGCATCTGATTTCGTATTGCGGTTTTAAGGATTAGATTCCTTGAAACTTTTTCGTCCCAGAAACCAGTTTTCAAATCGCACAGTCTATCCGTTTATCGTGGAGATACGAATATATAGAAAGGTGTCATTTTTATATAAAACTAGAATTTTTTTTTTAATTTAACGGGACATAACTCAAAAGCGATACTAGATGAGGCATTGCGTTTCGGAGCATTCGATTCTTTGTAACTTTGTAGTCCCACGTGTGAATTTTTAGACTAAATACACGATTTGTTTACTTTGGGGAGACAAATATATAAGAAGTTGTCATTTTGAGATAAAAACAGTATTTTTTCAAATTTAACTGGATATTTAATGGGACGTAACTTCAAAACGACACCACATTTCGTATTGCGGTTTAAAGGATTCGATTCCTTGAAGCTTTCTGGTCTCAGGAGCCAATTTTCAGATCGGATAGTTTATCCGTCTACTCTCAACAAATGAATATATAGAAAGCTGTCATTTTTAGATAAAACCACCATTTCTTCAAATTTAACGGCACATAACTCCAAAACGATGCCAGATTTCGCATTGCGGTTGGAAGCATTCGATTCTTGGAACTTCCTAGTCCTACAACTTAATTTTCAGGCTAACTACTCGCTTTGTTTACGGTGGAGAGACAAATATATATGAAGGTGTCATTTTGAGATAGAAACCTTATTTTTTCAAATTTAACGGAATATTTAATGGGACATAACTTCAAAACAGCACTAGATTTCTTATTACGGTTCGAAGGTTTAGATTCCTTGAAGCTTTCTGATCCTATGAGTGAATTTTCAGACTAAATACTCGATTTGTTAATTGTGGAGAGACGAATATATAAAAAGGTGTCATTTTGAGATAAAAACCGCATTTTTTCAAATTTAACTGGATATTTAATGGGACGTAACTTCAAAATGGCACCACATTTAGTATTGCGGTTTAAAGGATTCGATTCCTTGAAGCTTTCTGGTCTCAGAAGCCTATTTTCAGATCAGATAGTTCATCCGTTTACTGTGAACAAATGAATGTGTGGATAGCTATCATTTTTAGAAAAAACCATTTCTTCAAATTTAACGGGACATAACTCCAAAACGGTGCCAGATTTCGCATTGCGGTTGGGAGCATTCGATTTCTTGGAATTTCCTGGTCCCATAAGTGAATTTTCAGATTAAATACTCGATTTGTCTACTGTGGAGAGACGAATATATAAAATGTTATTTTGAGATTAAAAAATTGCATTTTTTCAAATTTAATGGGATATTTTTTAATCGGGCATACCTTCAAAACGGCACTATACTCCGCAATGGGGTTCGAAGCATTCGATTCCTTGGAACTTCCTAGTCCTACGACTTAATTTTCACACTAACTACTCGCTTTGTTTATGATGGAGAGACAAATATATATGGAGGTGTCATTTTGAGCTAAAAACAGTATTTTTTCAAATTTAACGGAATATTTAATGGGACATAAGTTCAAAACAGCACTAGATTTCTTATTACGGTTCGAAGGATTAGATTCCTTGAAGCTTTCTGGTCCTATGAGTGATTTTTCAGACTAAATATTCGATTTGTTAATTGTGGAGAGACAAATGTATAAAAAGGTGTCATTTTGGGATAAAAACCGCATTTTTACAAATTTAACTGGATATTTAATGGGACCTAACTTCAAAACGGCACCACATTTCGTATTGCGGTTTAAAGGATTCGATTCCTTGAAGCTTTCTGGTCTCAGGTGCCAATTTGCAGATCGGATATTTTATACGTTTACGGTGAACAAATGAATATATAGAAAGCTGTCATTTTTAGATAAAACCACCATTTCTTCAAATTTAACGGAACATAACTCCAAAACGGTGCCAGATTTCTCATTGCGGTTCGGAGCATTCGATTCCTTGGAACTTCCTAGTCCTACTAGTGAATTTTCAAACTAAATACTTGATTTCTTTACTGCGGAGAGACAAGTATATAAAAAGGTGTCATTTCGAGACTGACTGAAATCCACCTTTTATTTATTTTTTTTAGAACAATAAACATAACAAACCGTTTTAGCAGGTACTAGCCCCGCCCACCCACCCTCTCTCTTCTTAGAGGATATGTGATTTGCCAAAATTAGTTTTTATCTTAGCATGTACTAGGCCCGCCCACCCACCCTCTCTTTTCTTAGAGGGTATGTGATTTGCCAAAATCAGTCTTATCTTAGCAAGTACTAACAAAAATTAAAAGTTGAAAAATTGCTAATCGAAAAATTGATTTCCCATTGCGGTTTGCAGCATTCGATTCCTTGGAACTCGATAGACCTAGTAGTGAATTTTCAGACCGAATACTCGATCCGTTTACTGTCCAGAGACTAACATGTAGAATGGTGTCATTTTGAGATGAAAACAGCATGTTTTTCAAATTTAACGGGAAATAACTCCAAAACGGCTCTAGGCTCCGTATTACCGTTTGAAGTATTTGATAGCTTGCAACTTTCTAATCTTGGGAGTGAATTATCAGCTCAAATACTCGATCCGTTTACTGTCCAGAGAGGAATATATAGACAGGTTTCATTTGAGATAAAATCATCATTTTTTCAAATTTAACGGGAGATATCTCCAAAACGACACAAGACTCGACATCGCGGTTCGGAGCGTTCGATTCCTTGGAGCTTTCCAAACGTAGGAATGAATTTTCAGACCAAATACTTGATCCGTTTACTGTCTAGAGACGAATATATAGAAAGGTGTCATTTTGAGATAAAAACAGCATTTCTTCAAATTTAACGG